AGGTCCTTCTCCCCAGGGCTGCTCTCCAGCCATTCCCCGCCCAGCCTGGAGTTGTGCTGGACCCTCCACTCGGCCTTGTTGAACTTCAGGAGGTTGGCGCAGTCCCCCCTCTCCGGCCCGTCCACGTCCCTTTGGATGGCCTCCAGCTTGCCGACCGCTCCGCACAGCTTGGTGTCGGCTGCTGAACACAGAAATCCCACTCTGTACGCCTGCACCAAGGCCCAGACGCTGCGCGCAGGGTACCGCAACCACCCCAAGTTTATCTCTGTGGGTGACTGGGGGGTGTTGTCACCTGAGGCCTTACTGGAAGACACGCGTGAGGGTGGCTGGCGTGGCTGGCTGAAGCCAGGGCAGGATGCTCTGTGGGGCCGCACCAGCTAGGAACTGGTCCTGAGCACTCAAACCAGCACCGGCATCGCTTCCTGCCGCACTGGCACGCCTTTACAGTGACCGCAGGGAAGCGGTTACCCAGAACATGGTACTTGCTTTTAAAAAGCTGGTAAAATGACAGCGAGAAAACCAGCATGGCCCCTCGCAGCCATGCCTGGCACAGCGGGGTCGCACCAGCGCTCTGTCCATACTACCAAGTGAAATAGGTGTGTGTGTCTCAGCCCAGTGCACTGGGGAAAAAACACCTGAATCACTGTGGTGGGCACGGTTTTGCTCTTCAGGCCGAAATCTTTAAGAGATGAAAAGAACAGGCTTTTCAAAGCTCAAATTCTGCCTCTGCCAGGGCACAGCGGGAAAGCTTTGCCGTAGGGCTGCGCATCACGCACAGGGACATGCACTGTGTTTACGGTGCATCATTTATGAGGAGATTTCATTCGCATGCTGGGAGGAACAGCATTTCTCGGCTGGAGGCAGACATCCGCAGACCTGGATTTATGACCAGCAGCACTTCTGCATACCATTGCAGCGCAAGTTACGCTTCTCCAACACGGTCCCAGTCACCACCCGGCGTGGTTGCAGATGCTGGGAATCAAAGGCAGCTTTGGTGGGCAGGAGGGGGCGCACAGGGAGGTACTGCTGGCCCTGCTGCTGACTTGCTCCGTGGGCTCTGGGGCTCGCACTGCTGGCCCTAACACTATTGTCCTTGCTCCTCTTTTCCACATCATAAGTTCAGACAGCAGCACTGCAGGACCTGCGCAGGAGCAGGGTGGCCCATTCTTGTATTCCAAGAAGCTGCAGTGCCTTTCTAAGAGCTATTATTAACGAGCACAGTTTGCAAGGTGTGTAAACTGCGCAGGAATTCGTGATGGAGCCTGGAGGAAACGGCTCCCTCTGGTCCCCGGAGTCCTCACAGCCAGTGAGACCAACCAGCTGCTTCGCCGCCCCCGGGATCTGACCCGCATTGCCCCCACACACAAAGTGCTTGTATTAGTAAGGAGGACTTCAACATCAAACTCAGATGGATCGAGGGAACACTGCTAGCCCAAAGAACACGTAGAGCAGCAAATGTGATTAAATCAGCCCTGAATAAGAACTTAGAATCAAAAAGCTTTACTGCAGGCCAGCTTGGAAACGAGCTTTCTGGGTAGCTGCCAGAAACCCCCGGGATCATCATCAGTTTTAAATCACTGGAGACATAATCAAACTCAGCAAATTTTGTAAGAACACAGTAAAAAAAGAAATAAGACACCATACAAAACCACAACTGATGGGACATAGAAATATCATTTTTCAATCTCTAACAGTAATTTTTTTTCTTCATGATCAAAGAGCTGCATTGAGCCTTGATGATAAATCAGGAACTACACCAATCCTCTCTAACATAGCAAAGATTTGTTTGGAAGCGGCATTGCAATGTCTCCGCATTGGTTAGGTTCCCGGGCTGCCTAAGGAATTTGCTCCTTATTACCCCACAGGTAGATTTTGCACAGGCTTTTGCTTAATTCCGGGATCTTTCCCGGGCAGGAGGCTTGCCCAGCACCACCTCTGCTCCGCCAGCAGATTACGGAACCGCGCGGCAGTCTCCGTGCAGTTTGACTCAACAGCATCTTTCATCCCAGTCACCTTTTAAGCTCCTTATCTGATCTGCCTCTCCCACGAGCGCCTCTTAAGTCCTCAGACCTTCCTCTTGGTGCTCCCCTGATAGAGAGGCTTTTAACCTTTACAAAGCAGCTCAGCCCTGCCAGTTTTAAGGACAGAAAACTGATCGCCAACAAGTGATGTTTTTCTAGTAATATCTTTTCACAACCTTTCTCCTCCCTTCCCATCAACTCAGGCTCTTGAAGGAAAATTTTTTATAAAAGTCTTTATATGCTCATAAACTCCAAAATATTCTGAATTACAGCAGCCTCTTAAGCTCCCTCCCCCCAAAAAAACCACTAACAACAAAATAAATCCCACAAAACCAAAGCCCTGAGGGGTGTAATTACTGTTTGGTAGCACGTGCAACCTTTGGATTGGGTGACTTTTCCTGCAGCTCGCTGGTAGTAAGCGGTCAATCATCCAAGTTTAGAAGAAAGAAATTGCTAGCATTTTGTTGCAGTCAAGCTCGTTAATTTTTCCCCTCTTCCTCTAGCTTGTGTACTTGACACACATGCAACAACCCCCCAGACCACGGGAAATTTACAGCGCACTATACTTTTGCAGGTATTTGAAAGAATCTTTTAAGTTTCACGCTCGAAGAGCAACCCATGAAAAACGGAGCAGGAAAAGACTGAGAGCAAGCTAAAGCCTTATGTACTAGATATTCCTCTATTGTGGCTACAAAAGGACTGGGAAAATAGGTGAAAAGGGTGAATTCCAAGAGATGGATAAGAAAGAAAACCATTCTAGCAACGCGCATTTCTTAGAGCATCTTCCTTCATCCTCATGCAGCCTCTACTCACCTCCCCTGCTTCAAAGGGGCCCCCCTCAGGTCACACGGCAATGCCACCGCAGTCCCCAACGAACCCCGCGACATTACATCCGGGTGTTTCCAAGCTCTGGAAATAACCTCACTTCTTCCAGCTGCATCAGCTGGCGAGGCAAAGATTAGCTCTGCTTCCAACCCGGCCGTGCTTTGGGCAGCCCCAGCCACACACAGCCCCAAGTCACAGCCCGCTCCCCCGGAGCCGCTGCCTTGGCAACCAATTATTCAGCACTGCACGTCTCATTTGTTCTCTCTGGGATGTTTCAACTGGGTAACTGAGGTGGTCTATCCAAATAGACTTATAGTCTATACAAATCCATGCCTTTAAGTTAATTAATGGGGATTTAATTTAAAAAGAAAAAAAGCTCGTTCCATTTCTTGGAATATGTGTTCGCTGCACCTGAAAATTCACTTTCCCTGTGCTTTTGCCTCCGCCAGGACAGACTGTATTAAGCCAGGAAGCTATAAAGGCTTAAGGGAAAGGAAAGAAACAGCCATTACAGGTCAATAACTACTGCCTCGCACACCAACTGCTGTTGCCATAATTTATTGGTTGCTGATTTAGACCAGTTTATATATGTAACATGCAAGATGAAGAAAACCAGTCATTTATTACAAAAATATGGATATCACACAGCTCAACAGTTCTATGAACGGCAAATCCAGATCAAGTCTCAGTGCTGGTAGCAAATGATGCACCTACCCATTTCTTTTTCTCTCTAGTAAAAGGAATTGCTTTATTTATGACTAAAAAGCACACAGATGACTCAACACATTAAATATTTAATTAAACCTGTTTGATAACTTGATTACAGCCAGAGAATCTGCTCAGATGCAGTAGCACAAGAGAACACAGAGCCAGCTAGGAAATGTGGAACTGCTCACTATGAAAACCTACTTTAGCACGCAGTGGGAAAGCCCTGCATCTGGAGAGGACCGCTCAGTCAGCATACAATGCCAAATCCAACTGTATTTCAAAGATACCAGTTCCTTTGCGTCTTCAACCAGCCACTTCTGGTTTGAAAGAGATGGCAGAACCTTAATTTGGAAGGCACCACAAGCATCCCAGTGTCCACGAACCAACAGCCGATGCTCTAAGGACGCATCCCCCCTTACTGTAATTCAGCACAGGCTGGGTGTGCACGGACCCACTACAGTGCTTTGTCCACAGGTGTCAGGAAAAAGTAGCAAAGCGTACCTCAGCATCAGCCTCGGCAATTCTAACCGATAAATAACATGCGAAAAAACCACCCCGAACCCATGTCCCTTGCAGCAGAATTTTGTGCTCAATACTACATACCGTGCTACTGCATAAACTCAAAGGGAACTTCCATTAAAAACAGCAGGAGCTAAAAAAGTGCAGCACTTAATATAATTATTCCCATTTTTATACTTTGCTGAGCTATTTAGATGATGTCTTTTCACACCATTCTCAGAGGTCAGTACTTGGGAATTTAAAGAGCTTGAACTCCTGATTTCTCCAACAGGAAACCACAAGAGAAAGCAGATTAAAGCAAATTTAAAAAATAATCATAATCAAATGCCCAGCATATTTTCTTTTAAATCACAGAAATTACAAGCAGAAGCATATCTTGTTTTTTAAATGACAGCTTATCAGGATCTTTGTTTTATGTTGACTTGAGAGCATAAACGCACCTAATAATTTTTTTTCTAAGGCTTCTTCCAGTTAATTAGTAGCATTTTCCTTTAAAAAGGGGTTTTGTTTATTTTCCTTTTCCCATCCTAAATTAGTATTTGTATTCGCAACAGGTTGCAGTAAGTCTTGTTCAGACAGGCTGTAGTATAGCCGAGCGTATCGTTCTTTTCCAAGCATCAGTGGCTCAGTTTTCTAGGAGTTTCTCCCAAGGATGGCTAAGGTTTGCAGCGCTGGACAAAGCGTGGATAGAGACAGACATCTCGGATATGGTGTCTGTTCAGAATCCAGGTTAGGAATCGTTCTAATCCCAAACCATATCCACCATGAGGGCACGTACCGTATTTTCTCTGTGAAGTTAACATCAGATATTAAACATTTTCTTGTTATTTATATATTATAATTGCAGTAATACCACCAGAAAAAAAACAAACAACCCCCTTCCAGATTATTTTCTGAACGATGAGGAAAACAGACTATGCTCTTTTCAAGCAAGATATCTGTGCTTAGTTGTACTGAGTTTCCTGGGGCAGCGTAAGGACTAGAAGAGGAAAACAGAAGGTGAAAAAGAAAGTCTTAATGATTCTTTTTCAGCCGCCTCCTTTTCTCCCCCCTTACATAGCTAGAGCTTAGCCATTCAAGGCTGTGAAGACCAACCTCTCTTTATCTGACAAACACTGCAGAAGCCGTGACAAGAGGAACACACCTGCACAGACCAGAAGGTGATGTGGCACAGGCAGCACGCCACCGCAGCAAGCGGCAGCAATCCTACAATGGAAACGGCTACCCACTGCGTTTTGCCAGAGGTTAAATGAGGATCTACTTCAGGCCACCAAAAGCGTTTCCGATTTAGACTGCATCATCCTCAGAAGAGTTTTAAAGAAAAGAAGCAAACGTCCTATCTGACAAGCAGCACGTGTACTCTTGTCTTACAAACCTGATCGGTGTACCAGTAGTACGGTGTGGGATCAATGCCCTCTCTCCTATAGCCTTCAAGCAGCTCCTCGCTGTCCCACGTACGCATAGAGCCTCCCACGATTTCACCAACGTTAGGCATCAGCACGTCAACCTACGACACACAGCATGAGATCAAACTATTACAATTAAGCTGCCTGCAGGAGGGGAAGGAAAAATAGCCCAAACTTAAAACTCTATTTCCATAACACGTTTTACCATGTAGTTTTAATTCTCCGTGACAGGAAGGAAGGTAATTCCTTCCAGACCCAATTTATAGATGGAATAAACTGACTGACTAGCTGCTCTAACTTAACCTCTAGTACTCTTGGCTACACTGGACTGTAAAACAAACAAACGAACAAAAAACCCCACAAAACTGTAAACCAACCCAAAGCCAATACACACCCTCCCAAAACCAAAACCACCCCCCCAAAAAACCACACCACGAGCCCGGCAGCATTGCTAACAAGCCCCGCTGCCCCTGGCTGCCGGGCAGCTCCCGTTCGGACAGCACAGGCCCCAAGAAGTCACACGCGCGTTGTCATCAGACTAGCGCGTACCTGAGGTCGGTGAAGAGCATGCTCACTGTGACATTTTATTAGCACGTCAGAGTTGCTTTCTTAATTTCTACAGGATCAACAAGCCATGCCAAGAGACCCCCAAAACAAAACCCGGTAAGAATCCTCCAAGACCTTCCTGTAGTACTTACAGTCCTCGCTCGCTCCCCCGACATGCCCCACTCTAGTTACAAGCCTGCAACACTACACAAACACCAACTCACAGATTCAGTAAGCCGGGAATCGTCCTGACAGCGCTGCATGTAGAAAGACTTTATCTCTGCAGGAAATCGGCACAACAAGATTGGTTCGTTAATGGTGTCTGTCATCAACCTCTCGGGAGCTTCAGGAATATCCTAAGGTTAAAGGCGGCTTTATTAATATTTAAAACCAAACCCACTCTGATACCTTGAGTCCCACAAAGACAGTTTCACACCACACACATCCACACATTCGTCATAACGTATCTACATTTTTAAACCAAACTTATCCTATAAGAAAATATATTTATATTTAAAAGCATACATGGCGGCGGGGGGAGAACAACTGTTCAATTAAAGTCCAAGTCTTCCCAGGAATCTGAGGAAAACCAAACCTGAAGTGTAGGCTTTCCAAGCAACGAGCAAACGCTGAAGAGGCTTATCTCCTTCCTCCCCAAAACCGTTTTCCACAACCCTCAAGACTAAGAAGTTTCAGTGTTTCTTTTTTATATACATGGGCTACTTTTTAAAAACCTTAACCGATCAGTTACATAGATGAGGTTATTTAGGTGAAGTTTTCAGACTGAAATTTGATGAACTGTGACACACCTACCATAAGTTTCATTTTGACGAATTCAGCAATTTTACTGTTTAAAAACTGGGGAGAAGTGAAGGACACCACCACAGTCACACAGACAGTGATGATGTGATCGTGGCTTGCTAAATGAACACACTCTGTTCAGTCAAAAACACTCCTGTCTATTCCCAAAAGGTTTACCGTGAAATTTGATTCAGGCAATGGTGTCACACTTTTCTTAGACTCTGCGTTAAAATCAGAAGATTAGATTTTTTTTTCTGTAACGGGAAAAGAGAGCCACACCCGTTACATGCTTTACTGCATTACAGCGCTGCCTGCTGCGGAAGCGGGGCAGGAGGAGCCAACTACTGCGCACAGCAAGGAAAGTGGCAGGAACACAGGCCCTGGGCAAGGGCTGCTCCCAAAGCAAGTGTCAGCCCACAATGGGGGAGAGGAGGTCAAAACCCTTATTTCCCTCTGGGACCTTACGTTCAGTGCGGTTTGAAGGCCTTTTCCTCCCTTTATCTCTATCATCTTTGATACAGATGGGGAAAAAAACAGCAAAAAAACCAACAAGACTGATTTTGAACTGCCAAGGTTCTCTCGGACTACGCTGTGTAGACCTTGAACAATTAGATGATCTCCTCCTAAAAATCTCACTTCTCTTAAACCTTTGGCGACTATGGCTACACTGTCAAGTCCTCTTGAGCTCCTTCAAATCACTTTATCTTACATGCTGGAGAAGCACGAGATGGAACAGATGGACAGATGACAACACAAATTTCTCCTCCACTGTTCGAAGCCATCACGTGAAAACCCACGCTTGCATTCCCCACTGCGACATCACCACACCTCCCAGCACAGGCCAGACAAAAACCAGGCCTTGCTGCAGTTTACAGCAAAACTCCCTTTAACTTACATGGGACCACTCCATTTCACTCCTTACCGACACAATTCCACACAGAACGCAGCACATTCACACCGCAGCAGTACACCCAACAGCATCACGGTCCAAACACACTGTTCTTCAAGGGACTTAAACACCCTTAGCGCAGGGGAGTGGGATTCTGTGGGGTCTAATCCCCAAAGAGCCTCGGACAGACTTACTTCCCCAAACTCGTAATAAGTGCCATCCTCCTTCTTCACATCATGTTCCTTTAACCACTCAATAGCTTCAGAATAGTTCATTCGTCGGAAAGGACGTTTAGGGGGCTTGAAGCCCTGTAAATAAGAATGGACATAACAGTCGGAAAAGTACCATTTTGAAAGAATAATACTTTTCTAGTTGATCAGCAAGTCCACTGCCAGACTCGAAGCGTACACACTACTCTTTCCAGCTCATACACCAACAAATTGTTACTTAATAAACAAACAAACCAACCAACCAAGCTCAGTACTGAAAAGCAAGAACCAAAACACAACCATCTTCCAGGCCCAGTAAAGCTCACAGAAGAGATGCTGGAAAAGATGGCAGGAGAGAAGAGAGGACGCGTTTTCAAAGCTGTTTCCCTTTCTGTACAAAGTCAGTGCGCACACGGGTGTTTCAAACTGAGCCAGCAGCAGAGCTTCCATGCGCAAGCCCACAGAAGAACGTTTTTGCTTCCCTGCACACCAAACGGCTTCAGAACCCGCCCTTGTGAGGTGGGTTGTGCTACTGCTATCTCCTGCCTCCTGCCCACTGTCTCGGCCCAAATTTAAAACTGAATCTCCCAGTGTTTAGCAGAAAAACAGGTGAAAATCATGGGGATGACCGAGTTCGTATGCGCTCAGAGAAAAGCTAGTGCTGGAGATAAAGTCAGCAGTCTCTTCAAGCCACCTTCTTTGCAAAGGCAGCTGAAGACAAAGGGTCTCCACCAAATGAAAACAGCTTTGCAGAGCTCCACGTTCCAGGGTAGAAGGTAAAACACCAGTTGTTTCATCGCTCCCTTGTGCTCAATCTGCAAGTACCAGCCGATCAATATTACGAGCTCTGGGACAGAGGTTTTTATTCCACTGGTACAGCGCACAGTGCAATAAATCCCAGCACACTGCTGGCTCCTGGAACTTGCCAGCAGGGAACTTCTTCCCCCACAGTCCCCTGCTTCTGGAAGAGTCATTACCAGCCTCCCAACATTTTCGTTCTTTTGATGTTATTTAGTATTTTTCTTATTACTAATAATAGTAAGCAAGCAGGGCTCACTGCCACGCCCTGCCTTCCCCACATCAGAAAGGCTACAGATCATTATTTTCTTGGCTATTCATGACCGTTCCACATTGCCGCCTACCGGGTTGAGGTCATGCAGTAAGCTTGATGCAGGCGATTTCAAGACTCTGTCTACTACATCACAAACCAGGCTCTCCAGACGGTCCAATAAATCCTCAAAACTTATAAAAGGGCATTCAGCTTCAATGTGAGTGTATCTGAAACACAAAGTCATGCCCTTACACAACCACACACAAGCAACAAATCTTTAGCTACGAAAAAAATTCTCACAAGAAAAAAAAAAACCCCAAGGACACACACTTTTGTCCCCTTTGTCATTTCTCCCGCTTCTACACTGTAAAGAAAATAAAGCCATAAAAAATGCCACAGAAGACAACAGCATGAACTGTATTTTCTAAAAAGACAAAGCTTCCTAAAAACGTATCAGCTCTGTTTCACATAGATATTCCTTCAGCAAAGGTCAATGCGTGATGACCAGCCGGACATTCACAGACACAAGCTATTACACCCCCCAAATATACTTTCGCTCAGCCCTTCTGCGTTAGCGCTATGCTGTCTGCTCACTGCACATTATGTCATCCAACGGCCTGCTACTCCCCTGCTTTATGAATTCACTCATGCACGAGGAGCAAAGAAGTATACTCTCTCCATACTCTGCCAAGTGTCTGCGGGTCCTGGATTGCTCAGCTCTGTATGACTGAGCAACGCAGAAAACATCTCCTAACGCCGGAATGCAGGTCTCCAGGTAGAGCTGGGACGACTGCGTTAGGTATGCCTCTTCACCAAAATAATCCAGTTTGAACAGGGTAGAGCCTCCTTCCACCTGCGTCTGGACTAAGGTTGGTGGTGTGACCTGTTAAAGAACAAGACTGCCATTACTGGAGTGAAGAATTAAGGAAAATGATGACAAAGAGCA